AAAGCCGCTAAACCACGTTGAAATGGTGATACGCCGGTGGCCGGAAATGGAAGCGGCTGTGGGAGCAATAGGCGCGCTTCGAAGTGTCCCCAGAAAGGTGGTCGGCAAAGGCGAGCAGTTAAGCCGGAATCCAAGGATGAGGTTATACATGTCCGGTCAATGAGGTTGACGGCGGCGAAAGAGCGAGATGCGGAAACACTGGGCAAGTTTCAGCGTGAGGAACGGGATTTAGCAAGATGTGCTAAAGGCAGTGCAGCACGAAGGCAGGAGCCTGGGTCTCATGGACAGAGGATGGGGAATAGATCTGGCAAAAAGGGTGCCCACGAGAGGCGACATGGTCTGGTCACCACCAGTGGCTGGCAGAAGCACGACCATGTGAGATGGTGCACCACCGGAGATAAGCTGGAAGCAATGTCCAGTGACGCATCCAGCCGAGAGGAGCTACAGGAAGGCGATTTGGTGTTGTTGCACATACCGCAGCCGAAGAAAGGCTTCACCCCCGAACAACATCGAAACTGGAAAGGTCCGTATAGGATTGACAAACGGCTGAAGGACTCAGTGCAGCGAATCCAGACAGCTGGGAGACCGAGAACCAAGAAGAAAAAATAGCAACGTTTGGAGCAGTAAGTGTGTCTGATCGCAACGATCAGACTTAGGTGGAGGCCAGTGTGGCGAATACTGCGGCAACGCGAAGCGAACAGCGAGAAATAGGCAGAATGTTCGAGGAATGAAGTAGAATGTTCCACAAAGAGAAACGTCAAGCTGGATGAAAACTGCGAATAGCGAGAGAAAGAGAATGAGCAATGAACTTCAGAACATACTAGAGTTGCCATGAGTGCGAGCGAGGTATATAAGAGCCACCACACAGCGGAGTGAGTTAATTACAAGTCAGCAAGCTGCAAGTAAAGTGAGTTGCGAATAAGCAAGCTATAAGTTTAATTGTGTTAACAAGTTTTGCAAAGCGTTGAAATTGCTTATCGAGTATTGTAAAGTGTTTTTACGGTATTAGCAACTATTGTAAATTTTTTGTTATACAATAAAGTTAATTGTACTACGATTTGGTTATCGTGAGCATTTATTTAACAATCCAGCAATACGAGCCGTAGGATATTTCGGAAATCCCTCAAGGTTTCGAGGATAACACTGGTCTACAAATTTCAACTTTTTTTCTGCGAATAAGACGGGACCTGGTGTTTCTGAACGGATTTTTCGTGCTGAACACGAATCCGGGGTCAAAAATGTCCCATCACGTCACGTTTTCGAGAAAAAAGGGGTTGAAACCCCTAAAAACAGCGTTTTTGGCCATTTTCGAAAAATTATAGAGCTGAACCCTGACGTGGTACAAATTTTGCATATATCAGAAATTAAAGGCTAAACCGTGCCCTTTCGAATGAGCCCTATGCCGAATTGATCGCGTGCACCCTTAAAGCAGGGGGTGTATTTGTGTTTAGGGGTGCAGGAAAAATTGATCACAGAAAGAATTTAATCTTAAACGATCATAGAAAATTAATAATGCCAAGGTTTTAACTATATTAAAAGTCGCTGATTATGAATCTGCAGTTAGATTTTAAAAATTTAAGAAATTTATATGGTCGTTTAAGATGAAATTCTTTCTGCGATCAATTTTCCCTGGACTCCTAGACACAAATACACCCCCTGATCTAAGGGTGCATGCGATTAATTCGGCATAGGGCTCATTCGAAAGGGCACGATTTAGCCTTTAATTTCTGACATATACAAAGTTTGTAGCACGTCAGGGTTCAGCTCTACAATTTTTCGAAAATGTCCAAAAACGCTGTTTTTAGGGGTTTCAACCCCTTTTTTCTCGAAAACGTGACGTGATGGGAAGTTTTGGACCCCAGATTCGTGTTCAGCACGAAAAATCCGTTCGGAAACACCAGGTCCCGTCTTATTCGCAAAACCCTTGTAGACCAGTGTAATCGGAACACTATTTTAGTCAAAAATACATAAAATTTTATTTCAAATATGTGTAACCCTGCTATTTACCGTTTGACAATTTGCGTTGAAGTTTGTGCATTTTTCTGCATCTTTGAGTTTATTTAAACTATTAAAAAATTTAAGTGCGCTGTTTTGGAATCCAAAAATTACGCTGAAAAGGGTAATTTTAAGTTTTACCTTAAAATAA